ATCCTTTGTGAGAGACTTACTGACTTGCAAAATCTGAATGGCACTGACATAGATTGACATTTTTGTATAAATATTTCTCTCTATAAAGTTATCAGAAAATAATTTGGTAGACATTTTGTCTTGCTGTATTGCAAAATAGCGTTTTTAATTGTATTTTTGATCTAATAAATAAGAGACTTCTTTAAAAGCCATTACGGATTACAAATATTTTATTAATAGGCCTAATCTTTCCATTAATCTGTTCCACATGGTTACCATTAATATTCTTAGCAAAATATTTATCATTAAAAACTGCACTGTCCACCTTGCTCTCTAGTATCAGCATTGTCCAATAAAATCCTTAAGTCAACCACTAATTTAAATATTAGGTGTCAAACGTTCCCCACAAACACTACTTGTATGGTGAGGCAAAGAAAACTCAATTCACTCAACAAATAAGAAAGTCTGTAAAGAGCAGGTGGCATGGACATCTGTGAGACACCAGCACTTCAACCTAATGCCTCTGTTCCTGCTCCTTTACTAAAAGATGGCGTATCAAATTCCCCATGCTGTACTGAGTGACTCACCATTTAACTCCGCAACGAGTAAACACTTAACAACAGTGGCATTTTAATGAATACATTTACTAAATTCCATCCTCATAATAAATGTAATCCTCATACTGTCCATGCCCATAGGACTAAATTAATTAACTGATGTGAAATACCATCAGGGCACGACCTTCTTTTTTTTTATCAAGATAATATGATCACATGACTTCCTGATATGACAATCTGAGTCCTAGGAATGTCTGCCATTAAAATAAAAACAGCACCTTTATTTAAAATCACAGACTTCTGATGAGAGGTTTAGACATGATCTCGGTCTTCTTAAAGGGATGTGTGTGTGATTGTAACTTATTGATTCATTCATTCTGGCCCTGAAGCACGTGCAGGAGGCGCTCATTCTCACGATTCATTCAACCATAAACGAAACTAAAAGATAAACTCCGTCACATTAACAACGCTTTGAGCGAGTTTGTCGATACTAAAAAACACAATTTTACAAAGATTTGCGCGTTTATGAACAGACCGGAGTGGCAAAGGAGATAAGTTAACATGCTAACACCGGTGAGCTGATACAGGCTAACGAGCTAACTTACTTTTACATTACACACATTTCAGCAAATAGCACAGATTTCTGAACGTAATGCTCTTAGATCTAATCCGCCGTTATTTCCACTACGTTACCGGATAGTTTAACGACTAGGAGTGGAGTGAATGAGTCGTGCAGAAGTAACGTTAACGTAGCTAATGCTGGCTAGCGATAAGCTTCACAGTCTACACAATTTTTCAGTACTGGTTTCAGTGGCGAGCTGTATTTCGCATACATCAGTACAGATATTTTCCACAGAAAGCGCAGACTTACATGGCTTTGGCGGCTGTGTGTGTGTCTAATCGGGGTTTCTGGTATGTTCTCCCGGGGTTTGACTGTGTTCTGGTCAGACTGGAGCGCGATGGGCGGAGCCTCAAACCACGCCCCTCCCGTCGCTGGACTTTTCTAGAGCTTCCGTTTGAACCAAGCGGCAACCTCCCGCTCTCTCCAATAGTATGTTCCTGCACAACCGGAGGCTGCAGTTTCAGGACCGCAGTTCTAGGACCCTATTCTTTTGTAACAGCGCCACCTACCGAATTGGATCACTAAAGATGGACGACATGGACAGCAATCAGAGAGAGTAACTTTACCGATTTTCAATTAAGTTTTATTTTATAACCTTAAAA